AATGCTTGAAAGGTGAATTAATGGATTTTTTTGTATGCTTCATTGTTAAGGTTTTGTGATCACTGTAAAGAATTTTGAAAATTATATTTAATTGCTATTTTTCATGAATGATGGTCTCAATATGTGTAGAAATGATGTGTAAGAGCATCACTAATTTTGAAAAGGTAGTTCCTCCATAAATGATGAAATGGGTATGTGGTGTGAATTGTGGAACTTATTCCAAGTTTCTTATGTTTCTAAATTGCCTAATGATGTGAATTTGGTTCTCCTTGTGAATTGGTGCATCGAATATGAATATCTTTAACTTTATGTAATCTTTTATATGCTTCTATTTGATTCCTTCTTGCCTTTTAAAGTATTTAAGAGTCATTCGACGACGAATGTTCCCAAGTGGGGAAGTACTTTTACGCCCTAAAAATGGAATAGGTCAAACTAGAGATTTGAATGCATTTCGTAAGTTAATATTGTGTTAAAATAGTATACATTAGCATTAGAAGTTAGTTCGTAAAGTTTGGGACCGTTTGGAAGTAAAACGCCCAAGACATCCATAAACTAGTTGAAGTTGAACTAGTGTGTCGTAGTGTTTTAAAGTGATGCTTTGGGGGATGGTTTGGAAGTGAAATTGAGTATCAATGGTTCATATGAATAGAGTTACATGTAAAGGGTTGAAACGTTCAAGAACGACGCCCGGGGAACCACCCTAAGGGTCCCTGAGGAGGACCCAAACATTGGACAAGACGCTGCCCAAGGCAGCGTGCAGGGGCAGAATCTGAAGTCCACCTTGCGATGTGCCAAGGGTACGAGGTCCACTTCTTCAGAAAATTTGATAGGCAACAATGTGGAGCTTGCCTTGCGATGCGCAGCCAAGTCCCTGATTTGGCCGCGACGTTTTCAAGGCAAATGTCATGTTTGAAAAGGGTCCAAATGGTGTGAGGGTCTTTTGGGAAGTTAGGAGATCAATTTAGGTCATTTGAAACCTCATTTCGCCCATCTTTTACAACCCTAAATATTTAATCAGAAATCTCTCCAAAACTCTTTCTCCATAAACCTTCATTGAAGAAGCTTCTAGCTCCAAGGAAGAGCACCAAGTTCTTCACATTTTCTTCACCAAATTCTTGGGTTTCTTCATATTAAAGTATGGTAGTCATTCTTGAACCTTCTTTCATTCAAGGACCCCTTCCAAAGAAATTTCAAAAAGGATTTCAAACTTCAAACTTCTTTATTCCTTGACTCTAAGTATGAGTCTTTGCATGAAAATTTTTAATTGATTAAAACGAGTTTTTCATAGCTTTAAATGATGATTTTAATGTCAAAACCCCATGGAATCATGTCTATTCTTTTTATCAACTTTTGGATTATTAAATGGTTTTTATGAGCATGACTATATAAACTTAAAGTTATTGCTTCTTTGTGGTTTTATGGAGTTTTAGCTACTTCCCTAAAAAAAATTTAATAATGGATTATTATATGAATCGTGCATAGGAGGTAAAGGCTTGGATGAAGGGTAATTTATTGTATCCTTACAAAGTTATGTTGAGGTAACTCTTGAGTGGTATGGTCCTCTTTTGGTGACGGTGTTTACTTGAAATATACGAAGTTATATGTGTATTGTGAGAATGGCCTTGAAGGCATTATATGTGAAATGAAGTGATAATTTTGATATGTTTATGTATGGTATGTGTTGGAATGTTGATATGAGTATCTTGAAGGATTTATGTTAAAATGAAGTATGGATTTTATATGTAAAGTATTATTGTGTGTGAATTTTGATAAATGTAAGTTGAGCATGTCTAGAAGTCAACGTTATGAATAATGGTCATTATGTGAAGGTATGCTCACATGTGCTCACACATACACTTGAATGAATGAATGAAGTCAATGAATGAAAATGGGGGATTGTAGGGTGGACCTTCTTCGTGAGTGAAGATGAAGTGTCTAGACCATCCCTACTATTCCTAAGTATGAGAAAGGAGATGAAGTGTTTAGTAGAAACCTCACTATTCCGAATGAGCTTTCCAAAATAGTTTGGAGGTTATATACCCTTCGTGAGTTGAAATGGGTTTTTCAATGGTTATCTCCTAACCTATAGTCATTGAATGTTTAAGAATTCGTGGGGGAGTTATGCTTAGCACCGAGAGGATTTGAAGAAGTGGTGGACACACTTCGTGAGTAGAGATGTTGTAGCCAATGTTCCTCTTGAGATGGGTGCTCCTTGTTAGTACAAAGTGAGTTACTTAGTAGAAATCTCATTATCCCTTAACTATGCGCCCGCGTAGGTGTAGCTATTGGAGAGACCATCTAAAGGATAAATAATATTACCCTACCTTAGACAAGTAGGGATCCCTCATTCGATAAGGGTAGTACCAGAATTCCATGTCAAGCTCTCATGGTCTATGTCGGTTAAATCTATCCCCCACAAAACAAAGTAAAGAACTAAGTCTTCTTATGGTATACTACTTAGGGTAGGTGGTGGAGTGGAACGCTAATTATCCATTACACAACTAGACATTTTGAGGTAGTCTTGGTGTGTCCTTATGTGAAATGTATGAATAGGTCATGATTTGATTTAAATGAAAGTAATGTGAATTTATGTCTAATGTTATGAAAGAATTTTATGGTTATGAATTGTAGGATGAACTTATGAATGATGAATGTAGTATATCTAATCTCATGAAATCCTCAAGGAGTATATAGTGGGGGTAGTAGTTTGGGATGCTAATCTCACATTGCACTTTGAGTTACTTGTAAGTCAATTTGAGAGGGTACTTATGTGAAGTTCTTATATGCAAGTATCTTTCTTTAGTGTATTTAGTATGGAGTGTTGATTTGTTAAATGTAATGAAGTATGCTCGTCATGGTAAGACCCCCAAAATGAGTTAGACCTAGAGCCTAACATGTTTTTCTTAAGTTTCTAAGGTCCTAATTGAATTATAATATGGTTTAGAGGCAGTGTATATTTTGAGGCTATTTGGAAGTCAAACGTCAAGGGATGACCAAGACGTTCCACGGCTCATCGCCTATATGGATCATGTGTCTATATGTTATTATATGTGTATTTCATGATCTTAAGAAGTATTAAAATGAGTTATAATGATTCTTAATTATAGTATATGAAGTTCTGTGAGGTTTGGAGATCAAACGTCCAAGAACGTCCAACACGTTCGAAAGTTAGCCCTTGTGACGTTCAAGTGTGTCTTGATGGGCCTACACGGTTTGGACGTTTTATGGGTAATTTTTTTTGGTGAAACTCATTTGTGAGGTCTAAAACTTCATAAAGGTTTTATTTACTTTGGAAACGTTTGGGTACGACTTGTAATGGGATCGCAAAAGGGCCCACAAGAAGGACCCAAAGCTGGTCGAGACACTACCTTCGTAGTGTCAATCGACTGAACCAAACAATGGCCAGTTGGTCTACCAACTGCCCTTTGATGAGGTTTAGTCGATCAAAACATAGACTGGGCAGGCCTCAACTAAAAACAAAGGCCAACTTACAATTGATGGAAGCCAAAGGATGGCCAGCCAATTGACCAACGACCAGTCAATGGTCATCCATCGATGGTGGCCTGCGGTTGTTGCCTGCGTACTCTTTTATTTAAGGGGTGAATGGGAAATTCACCCCACGTACTAAACTGATTCTAATTGATTAATTTACCTATTTTTGGGTGTATATATGTGATCAAACACGTGAACAACCCATTCCCAATCCCTACTACACAAAATAAACCTTCCCATCCAAAAATATTTTCCCTAGAAACAATTATTGATGGTGAAGCTCAAGAAAAGCTTGGAACTTTGATTTCCATGGATTATTCATCGAGTTTTAGAAGTTTTGAACTAATCAAAGTTATGGTGATCCTTCATCTCTAAGTAACCTTTCATTTGGAGAGTTCTTCTCAAAGTTTTTAAAGAGGATTTTATGATCAATCTTTCAATCTAGCCATGGGTTCTTTATCAAAATATTTTAAATGGTTAAATCATGAAGAATTTTGATGTTAATGTATTAGATTGAATGTTATTTAATCCAATTTCATGATGAACCCATGTTCCTTCCCAAAATTGATTTAGTCCTTGCATGGGCTTTGTGTTCTCAATTTGTTATCGATTAAATTATGATTCTAGTACGTTGAAGTGGTTATATGTACTGTTATTTACGTGAATTGATGTTGAATTGATGATAAAGAATCCATGAGGATCATTATATGAATATTTGAACATCACGAATATATGCCTTTATGTGATCACTGTAATATGGACGTTTTAATGAAATATTGTGTAATTCGATTGAGTTGTGGTTCTTGTAACCACTTTTTAAGGTTAATATTATTATTGAATTGTAAGTATAAATTGGTTATGATCAAGGTAAATAAGGATTAATATGAAATGGGATAAGCTTAAAAAATTCCCAAGCATGGACTCATTCAACCTGGTTTCTTAGCAAAGGGATTAGGTCAAAGTTTGAAATTTATTAGCACTACAAGAGATAATGATAAACAAAGGACTTCAATTGCAAAAAATAGAAGTTACAATGCCACAACTTCTAAGTCTTATAAGCTAGCAGACAATAGTTTCCATGTACATCCTCATTTTTATAAAAAGGAAGACAATGTTCCCTTCTGTCAAGGAGTTCAAATGAATCTACATACTTTGACCAGTGATGCAAGGGCTCTAGGACAAAGCTTAGGGACTAATGTTGAAAAACAAACTCTGATTGGCAAAATTAGAAGCACTATAACAAATTCTAGTCGAAACAAGGAAGGAAAGACTAGTATCCCTATTCCTCCTAATTTTTATCCAATGGAAGACAATGACACCCTCTTTCAAGAAGCAACAATTACTCGAGATGCTAAAAGTAGTGATAATTTGCAAAAGAGTTAGTCTGATTAATATATTTGATCAACAAAAATTGCTTAGCTTTCTGTAATTAATCTCCTTTGTATTATTTATTAATAATGGTCATGAACTTCTTAGTTTAGTTGACTTCCATAAAATTTTGCAGCTGCATTTGAATTTTATGAGTCAAGAAGAGTTATTGGAGTGCCTCGATCTTCTCAAAAAAGTGATACTGGTATTTTATTTTTTATTTGTGTAGCTTTATTTTGTTGTTGTTGAATTGAAGTGTTAGTTTTTATAACTTGAACTTAAATTTGTAGCTCCATTTGAATCTAGAAAAGCAAAAAAGGTTTTTGAAGTTGCTCAAGGTGCTAAGGAAAACTAGTATGTACTTTCTTTTTATGTAATATTTTCTTTTTGTTCTTACCGGAAAAGTACCCTTCTTCTTAGTAATGGGAATGAACTTCTTATATCGATTTACTTGAATAAAAATTTACAGGTCTTTTTGAATTTGACAAGGCTAAAAAGGTGAATGAAGTGTCTCGGCAGTATCAAAGAAGTGATACTACTATTTTATTTTTATTTGTGTAACTTTTTTTAGTAAGCTAATTTATTTCTTGGGCATTTTTGCTTACAGTTAGATTTGCAGGTTTGTTTGAATCTAGAAAAGCCAAAAAAGTTGTTGAAGTGGTACAAGATGTTGAGGGAATTGAAACTAGTATGTACTTTCTTCTATATAATTTCTATTATTTTCTGCATTGTTATCTGTAAAGGAGCTAAAACATTATCTCTACTCGCTTTAATAGGCCCTGAGAGTCCAAGAGTAAAAAAGTTATTTCCCCCTTCCATTTCAAGCCATATACGTGGTTAATAAGATCTTTATATGAAGTTAGGAGACCAACAAATCCTATATAACTCTCCTTATCCGAGTAATTTAGATTCCTTCTTAGAAGAATGTTCTAGTTGTCTCCTTCTTCGCTTTGTTCTACTGTGAGAATCAACATCTTGTTTGGTTTTCCTTACTGTAGATTTTGAAGGTTCATGTGAAATAGATAGGGTAAAGAACGTGAGAGGAACAAATATTTGTAAGAATGTTTTGCGACTGAGACCTGGAGAAAATTAAAAGTCATTTTCTATAAAAATTGAGTCGTCGGGCAGAATCACACCTCATTTACTAGACACTTGAGTTTGCAAGTTCGTGATTGTAATATGTGTCCACTGCGGTACACTAATGGATGAACATCGAAGAGCATAATCTTGAGCACATGTGGGAAGCTGTTACTGTAGGGATTACAACATATCTATATCTTTTACTGATAATTGTCAAGAATTAATTCCTTTTCAAAAACTATTGGTTTTTTCAGTTTCAAACATGTGACTCTTGATTTATGTTCCTGAAATTTCTCGGTTACATCCCTATTAGGTGATTTGTACTTCGATGACTTGTTTTCCCTTATTAATAGATTTTGTAGGTATTTTTTCTATTTTAAGAGTAGTTTGACAGTGACGATATGAATGATCAAAGATATAACGTTTTGCAATATATGAGAAAGCTTTGGAATAACTGGAGAGGATCACTGCACAAGAATTTGAAATATAAATCATTGCCCGATGTTCTTAAAGAAGTGTCGAAGGGAGTAGATAAGAGTAATTGGGGATGGTTGGTCAAGGAACATTTTTTATCTGATAAATTAAGGTAAGACTTCATATAGTTATTAACAAATATCATTCTATTTCTAGTTATAACATATGATTAGTTTTTTGGAATAATTTATACCACATTCAAATTGAGTTTTGATCTCGTTAAAATTTTTTGATGTTTTCTATCCTTAAGATGTACCAAAGAAAATTGCAATGGTGTGTTTTGTATTTCTGTTCTCTATTACCCTCTTCCCACTAAACTAAAAAGTACACATTAAATATAGAATCATTAACAATATTGGGATTAATTTCTGTGTTGGGTTGTTAATGCATGATGCAAGTACAAGAAACTAAGTCAATAGGTCTAAGTTATGTATGCCTCATCATACGGCACTACAAAAAAAAGGCTTATTTACGACCAACATTTAGGGACGAGTTAATAATCTCGTCCCTAAAAGTGTATATAGTGAGACGAGATTATATTTTTGTCTTAAAAGCTATATGTTTTCGAGAAGGTGCAAAAGATCGTCCCTAAAATTTTTAATTACTAGTCGTTGTTGTAATTGGCTGAGTTAGCGGGATACCAAACATCCCAAAAATTTTACTTAAATCATTTTTTTGGCTGAAAAATTAGGTGCTAAAAGAAACATCATTTCCTAAAATATCTAAAAAAAAACCATGTTTTCTCAATACCCACTTGTCCTAAGACGTTACATATTCAGATCATCAAGAACGACGCAACTCTGTTTTTCATATGGATCAAGAGCAGATTCTTCTTAGGATTCTCAAGATCTTCTTAAAAGACCTTTATCCATCAGAAACGTCGTCTCTATTTTCTTCTCTCTACTACGAAATTCTGGTAAGATTTTTTTTCTTTTTCTTCTTGTTCTCTATTTTGTCGTTAATTCAACTTTGCCCAGTTTTTTTGATGGTGTAATTTGTTGAAGTTTTTTCAAGTGTGTATTACATTGTATTTTCGAAAAATCCCATAAACCATAAAGTAAAGTTTTTTCTGAAAAAAACTAAGTGAAGACCTTGGTTCGGTTTTTTTCTGCTTCTTTATTTCCCTTATTCAATGGACACCAAAGTTGATTGTTTGAATAAATCTGATTTTCATGTGATCAGTTGATGATTATAAAACAAAAATTCTTTATATTGAAGTGTTTATCAACTTGTAGTAACAAAACTTATTCTTTTCTATTTACTACAACACAAGTAATTGTCTTCTTTTATTTCTGTGTTGCAGGTCGTGAATTGATAATTATTTAACTTGATTGATTCATTTGTTTTTGGAGTCTTTGACCAGTGAATTAAAGATAATGATTACTATGATTTATACTGGACGATTGAATTTTTAACCATACTATCGCATACATAATTTCCACTAAAAGAAACTATGTACTTCATCTCTTATCCTAGTAGGTTTTCTCACACAAGCAGTGTAGGAAGCCTTATTCACAATGCTCTCCCATATTCAAGTTTGATCTTTTTTCAAATCTGCTCGACATCCTTTTAATCCACCATTTGATGAATTAAGAGTATGTAATTTCTAATACATGGCTACTTCTTGAACTCCTCTAGTATTTTGTATAATTCACTCACTATGGTATCCCTATCTATATAATGTTAATCAAATATCATATTATACTCAAATTCTTGTTCACTTAGCTTATGTACTTTAGGAGCCAAATTTAAGATACTAAAAACACTTTTCTGGAATCAGAATGAACTAATTTTTTTATATGTTTTTCTCGTATTCATCCTTAACAATGACTGAGTGATCATATTGTTGTTCGTCTAGATAGTTTCATTATTACAGAGCAGGCTGAAAATCACTTCAATCTGAGTTCCCTATTTTAGGCGTGGTAAGTGTTTGAAAACGAACACTCAATAGTTGTTCTCATCAAATTCTGGACATCTCAGTTCTCAATAGTTGTTCTCGCTTCAATTTGAGTTCCCTTTTGTTGATCTGTTTTTCTTGTCTCAATATAATTTTCATCAAAGGATTTCACCACAAGAAATTTTCTTTGTTTACTTTAATATATTAGTCTTTTCTGAAGCTCGATTTTTTCCCCGTGCGCTTGAAATCCACCATTCTGATCACTGGCAGAACAAGGTTCTTGGTTTCTTCATCAAGAACTTTATTTGCACTTTCATTGTGAACTCTAAACAGTGAAAAAGAAGCAGTATCCTCTGCATCATTCTTGGATGAACAAGGTTCATCGTTTCTTTGTTTTGTTTGGTCCTATGTTAGAAAAACTTACCCAAAATTTTTGGAGCAGAAAATTCAACACTTTTCCTTCAATTGAAGCTAGGTTTCATTGTATTTAATTTTATCATCCAAGTTTCCTACTTATGTAATTTATTATTTGTAGTGCCATTATATCTGTGAAGTCTTCAGGGATGGAGATCAATGTCTCAACACGAAAAATTACTACTGCTCTAATCCTTGTATTTAGTTGTGTATTTAGTTGTTCCAATCCTTTGTAGGCTCGAACAAAAATCATGTTACATGAATTAACATCTTTGCTATAAGTATAATTATAAACTTTCATAATTCTTAGTGTAATCTATACTTAGATTCAACACTACTTTGTTTATCTGATGGTAACAAGTTGTTTGCAACTTCGATTTTTTCTTATTTTTCTTTACCTTTTAAAATCTTTTTTATGTCCTATTAAAGATTATGGCACCTAGTAAGCAGTGGTTGGATCTTTTTGACAATTGACTAGATGAAATCTAATTGAGCAGTGTTCCAAAGTGTTATGAAATATGCTTTTTAAAGAACAGGAGAAAAATATGAAATACGATGTCCGTGTGTTAAATGTTACAATGCAACTTTAGGAACTCGTAAAATAGTTGAGACACATTTGCTAGTACATGGAATAATTCGCAATTATACTTTTTGTATCACCATGGAGAACATTCGGGTTAGCCATTATCAAAATCATAATCAGAACATGATGATGGTGAACAACATGATGTTTTAGAAGAACATGAGAGTGAAGATGAAGTAGAAAAACTATTGAGAGATTTATATCCTAATCTTGATGGAGGAGCTACACAGACTGGTTGTGAAGACATTCTTGAAGAGGAACCAAATGCTGAAGCAAAAAAGTATTACGATCTATTAAGGGATTTAGAGTGTCCATTATACCAAAATTAAAAAGCTTCAAAACTTTCCACACTGATAAAATTGCCTCATATCAAAAGTATGGGTTGTTCGAGTAATGCATCATTTGCAATGCTATTGAATATGTTTAAAGATGAGTTATTGCCGAATGTTGCCAATTTGCAAAATTCATATTATGAGGCAAAGAAGATAATTAAAGATCTTGGTATTTTATACGGCAAAATTAATGCTTGTACTAAAGATTGCATGTTATACTTGAAGGAGGATAGCTTACTTGATACTTGCAAATTTTGTGGTGCGTCAAGATGGAGAACAAATAAGCATAGTGGGGAAACAAAGAATAGAAAAGGTAAAAAGATAGCGTCAAAGAGTTTAAGCTATTTTCCTTTAAATCTTGGACTTCAGAGATTGTTTATGTCTACCAAGACATCTACTCTAATGACATGGCATAAGGATAAAAAAGTGGATGGTAAAATAATGAGGCATCGGGCTGATTCAATGGCATGGAAATCATTTGATGAAATTCATTAGTTGGAGTAACATTTGAACTCTTAATTTATTTAAACAAGCAAGGTCAGTTACAGGAGGAGACGAATTGAAGTGAGGTGACGATATTGTGGTGCGAGCTACTCTGTTTTAAAAGTTTCTGCCGACATAAATTTTGTTTTGAAATTTTCTGCTATGCTGCAACAATAGCACTGCCAGCAACTCTGTTTTAAAAGTTTTTTCCGACATAAATTTTGTTTTTAAATTTTCTACTATGCTGCAACAATATTGCTGCCAGCTACCATGTTTATCATTTTCTGCAGAGATGATAATGTAGCTCATCTTCTATGTTAATTCTTTCAATTTGTTTCTATCATCTACATAATGTTTTTTAGTTGTGGTTCTTCAAAATAGATGTTGGATTCTTGTATAATGTTTCTCAAAGTTTTCTAATAGATTTTTCTTTTTTCGTGCAGGTTTTGTTGATCTTTTTGGATATCACTTGACAAAGACTGAAGTTTGAAAGTTTTCTGCTATAGTTTTGTTCATTCTTCAGTGGGTAGATGCAAGTTTAGAATGTTTGCTACGAATGTTTTGCAATACTTTTGATGTTATCGAATATTTTTTGTTATGCAAATATCATGAGATAATCAATCACTCTTATTTCATTCTCCTTTTCACTAGCTCTATGATACTTTTGTTTCCATATTTTAGTAGTAATCATTTTGGTATTTGTTGA